TCCTCCTCCTCCTCCTCGCCTCCCCGTCACTCGCGGGGTGTTTTTGCTTCGTCGGGCATGTTGCCCCACACACATATCGGAACACACGCACGCACCAACAAGTAGGCACACACACACACACACACGTCTCTACGCGAAAAGAATGTGTGAGCCGCTGCCGTCGAGAATAGGAATGCAACACAATGGGTATAATAAAAATAATAACCACCAAAAGCACCAGGGCTGGTACCACTAGCTACTAGCTACTGCTGCTTTTGTTGCTCTTGCTGTAGTATTCACCTCTCGCTCTCTCTCCCCTCCTTGTACACAGGCCGAGACACACACACACACACACACACACACACACAAAACCCCTTCCATGCCACCGCTCGCCCCCCACAGGCATTGTGGCGTTCCCACACGCATGCGCTTACATCTCGAACAGCGTCGTGAGCGAGTTCTCCGTGTGCACCTTCTCAATGGCGCGGGCGAGGAGCGGGGCGATGGGCAGCACGCGCAGCTTCTGCGCGATGCGGGGGTTCGTGAACACCTCGTCCTGGTCGACGCTGTCAGTGACAACGACGAGGTCAATTGGGCTGTGGATAAGCCGCTCCACCGCCCCACCCGACACAATGAAGTGCGTCGCGAGCAGAATAATGCGGCTTGCGCCCGCCTCACGCAGCTTCCACGCGGTGCGGCAGATGATGATCGCTTCGTCAATAAATGTGTCGACAATGATGCATAGCCGATCCTTCACATCGCCAACGAGCAAAACATCGTCGGTCGCCGTCGTGTCGTCGACAGGGACGTTGCGAATGGCACAAATGCCTTCCTCCTGCCGCCGTAGTGCCTGCTCGAACGCCAACGTGCAGGCACCTCCAAGAGATAGGTGACTCTGCTCGCTCGAAGGGGATACCGAAGGCTGTTGTAGTTGTTTCTGCTGCTGCTGCTTCTGCTGTTTGGAGTTGCTAATGCCGCTGCCGCCGGCGTCATCAGTGGCATTAGCGTTCTTATCAGGGTTCATCAGAGAGGTCTGCAGGGGTTCAATGGGAGCCCGGCTAGTGTGTGCCGCGACCTCCCTATCGGTGGAGGAAGAGAAACTCGACGCTTCACCCTCCACTCCGCCTTGCGTGCAGCTGTAGTGATCACCCGAGACTGGAGAGAGGACTGTTTGCTGCTGCTGCTGCTGCGGGACACACATCTGTCGCTGCACCGCCGTACATACGGAAACGAACTGATCCTCGCTTGAGAGCTCCTTGTACTGCATTAGCGCATCCGCGAAGTGTCGTGCGCGGTTAACCGATGCCCCAGTCGTTGCCACAATCGTAATGTTGCGGAAGTCGTGTCCCTCGTTCGTCAGGTGGTTCGCAATGTAGCGAACGAATTCGTACTTTGCCGATATCGTCTCCAGTGGCACGGAGAACATGCCTTCCACCTGCTCGCTCGAGAGATCCACCGTAATGACGTGCTGGCAGCCCATCGTCTCCAGAAGCTCTGCTACAGCCGCCATTGACGAGACACTGGCGGTGTACGCGATGTACGGAATGACGGCGGTGATGCGTGCAGCCGAGCTCATCTTGGCTGCGTGCAACATCAGTGCAAGCTCCATAAATGTGCCGGAGTGCGACAGAGCGAGGGGGTCGCGCTTCACGAGTGACTGCAGCACAAACACGTCATCGCCGCGGATCGCACGGGGAAGATTCACGTTGATCTCCCCATTCGGGAACTGCGTACAACACGGCGGAAAACGCTCGCACTGCAGTACCTCGCAGATCATCTTCTGGCAGAAGATGCTCGTGTTGCCGGGCAGAATGCGCACCGCAAAGTCACCCGGCCGCTCCTGGTGCGGGAAGTTGAGGGTGAAGAAGAAGGTGTCGCTGTGTGGCAGGATGCGGCGTATGTTCACACCTGCCTTGTGCTCGTAGCGGCTGAGATGCGCCACCGTTTCCTCATACGTAAAGTGAAAGACTGTGCCGTAGAGCGCAATGAGGTCGAGCGCAATGCGGCGCAGATTGATGCGCGGCTGCGAGAGTGCGCTGGAGGAGATGATGTCATCCACAGCCATCAGGCGCTGCTGAAGGGAAAGGCTGTCGCAGGCGCAGCGCTCCATGAACTTCTTCATGATCTTGCGGAACGCTGCGAGGTTGAGGGCGCGGTACTGCAGGATCGACTGCACCTTCACGTACAGCTGCGGAATGCGCTCCTCCGGCCGCGCGCGGATCTCCTCTTCCGTCAACTGCCGCAGCTCCTTCACACGCGAGAGGAGATCCACCTCGAGCTTCAACAGGTAGTTCTTCACCTTCTCGAAGGAGGCGTCTAGCTGCTCGAAGAACTCATCCTCCGCGCACCGCCGCTGCTCCACCAGCTCCAGCATCGTCAGGGTGCCCGCCCTCTTCTCTGTCGTTGTGGTCGGTGTTGAACTCACGGTCGGCAGCGTGCCCTCGCATGACATCGGTGAGCCCGGGTCATTTGCTTCCAGTTTATTGATTCTCATCCTCAGCTGCTCCACCGTCTTTGCGATGGGCTTCAGCTCAAAATACGAGACGTAATTTTCGAGCGTGATCTCCGTGTTATACTCCGAGAGGAGACGGCGGTGGAACGCCTGTCCCTCGGAGCGTGCCTTCCCTGTACGCATGTGTATACGTCTGCTGCTGCTGCTTCTGCTACTGCTGCTGTTGTTGTTGTTATTCCTCTTAGTGTGATATTACTCTCTCTCTCCCTTTCTCTCTTTGTCTGCGCGTATGTATGTATGCAACTGACTGCGTGCGTGGCACGGAATGACTCCACAATAGGACAGTGCGACGTCGACCTGTCTTCCCTGCAAGGCAGTGGGGGAGAGAACAAAGCAACAACAACAAAAGTAAGAGCAACACACACACACACACACACACACACACACAAACCAAAAANAAAAAAAAAAAACATACTCGTCGTGCATTGTTCACACATGCAGAGAATTCCCCCTTCAGCTACCCTCGCCTCTCCGTGCATGGGGGGATTATCGCAGTGCGCACAACACCAACGACACACAGAGGAGGGGGGCGAAGAACGAAGAAGAGAGTAAGAGTGAGAGGAATAAGGGCACGCAGCACTCATTTCTCTGTGAGGAAATCTAACACAACCAGACACGTAGGCGTACGACAACTGCAACCCCTACGGATCGGCGTTGAGAATAGCCCACAAGTCTGGCATGCGCTGCTGCATGGCATCCGCAAGCCGACCCCGTTGACCACCCACATCGCCGTGATATCTCCGCTGTTGCTCTTCATGCTGGTGGCGGGATACACACGACAGCTGCCGTAGCAGCACCGCCCGCACCGCCTCCCCGAAGTCCTGAATCGCCTCTTCTTCCCCTTCCCGCATCCTCTTCTGTGCGCCGTCGTTGGCCCTGTGTATGGACCGCGCATACACTGATCGGCCGAGCACAGCCCTCACTTCCTCCGTGTCCTCCGCATCAGCAGTGCCTGCGGTGGCGCAGAGTGTGCTATACAGCTGCAGGAGCACCTGGGAGAGTTGGTGGTACACCCGAGCAGTGTGTGTCTCTTCGGCAGACAATAGGCGACATCTCTTTCGCCCCGATGAAGCCTCGCTGATGTGGTCTGTTGCTGCTTCTGCCGCTGCCTTACCACACGTTGGCATCGTTGTGAGTTTCTGTGGCATATCAGTTTCTCTCTCTCTCTCTCTCTCTCTCTGAGCCGCACGGACCCACAGACGCAGTCACGCAAGGGTGCTGCCCTCCGTGGAAGGACACACCGAAGCACGCAGACGTACAAACGCACAACGGAAAAGAAGAAATATATATATTTAATCAACGTATATATGTAAATATACACAGCCGGAGAACACGTCCCCCACCCCCTCAGTGCTATGCACGTGACACACAGCTGGTGCCCTTCACTCTTTCCTTCTTTTTATTCTGTGGGGGGTTTACCCCCGTCCTCTTGAAGGCTTGAGGCGAGACGCCAGCGCGAAGTCGACCAGCAAGAGCGGCACATCAGCTACAACTGGGCGCGTCACCATCGCCCATCGTATCTATTGGCCGACGTATCCATCCCGCTCGTCATCTTCCGACCGAGTCAACAGCTTCTTGCATCTAATCCGTCAAGCACGTACCTAGTACACACACAAACAAACATACATACGCATATATATATACATATATATATATATATGTATAGAAGCGCGTGCATCTCCCCGTCTACGGCGGCAGCATCACTGTCAGCGATACCGACGCCTTGTTGTACACGCCCTCGCTCGGCAGCTCCACTGAGACCCCCGAGAAGGCGGCAGACCACCCCACCACGTCCGACCCTCCCTTTTCTTCCGGCAGCGTAAAGAACTTCTGCGGCGACAGCAGCAGCGCCGTTGTTGTGGTTGTTGATGCTGCTGTTGTTGCTGCGGCACCTGATCGCAGGTGGTGGTCGGACGCAGCGGTGGCGTTGGGCAGCGGACAGACGCCGAGGCGCACGCGCAGCGGCTGCATGGCGTGCAGGTCGTGGAAGAACCCCTCCGCCTCCTGCCCGGTCGCGCCATCGCTCATGCGACTGCCACTGCGCCGACTGCTGCCAGCGGTGTGCCCCGTCGGCCGCCGCTGCGACACCGCCACACCCTCGGCCTCCTCCTCTTCTTCTTCCAACTCCTCCTCCTCTTCTTCCAACTCCTCCTCCTCCTCCTCNTCATCATCATCATCGTTGCGGCTGCGCTTCTGTGCGAAGCGTGGCTTGTGCTGCAGCCTGCGCACCGTCATCATAGACGGGCGCGGCGACGGTGTGACGGGGTTTGCCGCGTGCGAGGGGCGCGGCGGCGACAAGGACACCCGAAGCGGCGAAGTGCCTTGCGCCTCAATCTCCCCCCTCTCCTCCTCCACGGCTTCTGTTGCTGCTGTCGTTTGCTCTCTCGTTGTGGCGCCTCGTCGGCGTCGCCCACTGGTGGGGGCTCGCTTCGGCGGCATTTCAAAGGCCACCCAATACTTACTCTCTATTGTACTTCATTACACACACACAGTGAGAGAGAGTGTGTGTGTGAGAGAGAGAGAAGGGAATACAATGTCGCAGTGGGATGCTGGGATTGATATGAAGTCCTATGTGTGGATTTTGATACTGGATGAAGGAATGCCATGAATAAGGGGGTTGGCAATAAGCGAGGAAAGTGCAAGAAACCGTAGAAGGATGCCCGAAAAAAAAAAATGTTTTATTCAACCACCGAAGAATATCAATGCTTCGGCTGCCGGTAGACCCTACTGCTCACTTCCGTTGATTTATAGAAACACATGAACATACACACATAGAGTGACAGGTAGGGGGCGTGAATGCCTCATGGCTTTTTCCTCTAAATGTATTTGGTTCCCCTTGCTTTCAATTCATTATGGTTTTGCATTTCCCTGCGCTTTCGCATCGGCACCACCCCCACCGAACTGCCTCAGTGTGTTTATGTACGCCATCATATGAGTCTGAATCTCCTGCATCTTCCGCGCGTCCTCTGGTGTTGGCGCCTGCCCACTGTGCATGCTCTGCTGAATGCGCATCATGTCCTCCCGAAGCTTCGGTGAAAGTGACTGAAACGCCATCTGCATCTCCATCATCTGCTGCGGGTTCGGCATTCCATGTGAGTGGCCGTGACCGTGTGAGTGACCATGGCCGTGCGAGTGCTGGCAGTTGGGTCCGTGCTGGTGCGCGTGCCCGTCCGCGTTCATTTGCTGCGGCAGCAGTGCGGACAGCCGCGGCTCCGACGAGCACACCGAGACCATCTGCGACTCCACCAGCATGCACATCTGCCTCATTATCATCTCCGTCTCCTGGTCAGGGTATTTTACCACCGCCTCCTTCAGACACTCCAGCATCATCGCACCACTGGGTGCGGTGGCGGCGTTGCCTCCCGTGCCGTGGATTGTGGCGTAGTGGCGTTCAAGGAACTCCTTCTGCAGCTCCTCCACGACGGCGATGAGCTCCATATCGGTAGTTGGCACCGGCTCCCGCAGCGCATTCTCGCGCAGTTTGTTGAGGAATGCCGGCATCTGCATCTCCACAATCATGCCGCGGACAAGATTGTGCACGTCGTTGCGCGAAAGCTCCAGCTTTGCCTCCGTCATGGTGTGCGTGCGTGTGTGTGTGTGTGTGCCGGTTGGTAATATAACTCTGCTTCTGCTGCTGATGATGGTGGAGGTGATGATGCCAACGCCACTGGGAATATTTTTCTCCTTTTTCTCGCCCAGGAGGCCCAATCGAACAGAAAGAGGGAGGGGGGAAGGGAGACAAACCAAAAAAAAGGAAGAAACAAACAAGCGGTGTTGGCGGTGGGCATGCATCGTGTCATTCAGGCGCTCGTGATGGACGTGGAAGTTGCAGGACAGCAGATTCAGCCACAGACGAACACACGCGAAAAAAAAAAAATAACCTCAGGGGTCGATGCAAAAGCAAATAAATAAGATACTCAATGTGTTAGACGACACCTCACGAACGCAATCGGGGCATCACGCCACGGCCCCAGTTTCCCACAGCTGCTCCATCCATGGCGCCCTTTTGAAAGACACCAGTAGAAAACTCTCCTCCTCCTTTGAACCCCAGTCGTAGACGACAAGACCCCCTGAGCCTCCTAGCCAGCGTCACCAGCCACGCCCAGTGGCACTAGTCGAAGCTGCAAGACCACCCTCCCCCTCAATAAGAGCAGACCCCCAGATGCTTGTAGCTGCGGGGAGAGGTCGGACGATGACGCAAACCTAATAGTACACCCTTTTTTTTTTGCCATGAAGGCGCCTATGCGACAGCATCAGCATCACAGACACTGTTGCGCGGCAAGAGGACTACTACACTCGCCAGCGACAGTACATGGGCGCACACGCACGCTCTGCGCCCCACGGTGAACAAATGCGCCTTCCTATTTCTGCTCAGTGAAGAAGTGAAAGGGGAGGAATGCATAGGGTCACAGAAGAGACGCAAACTAGAGGCAAGACAATGTGCCATACTCATGAGTAAAGTTATTCTCGCTTCTGATCTACAGCGCTTCACTATATTAAATAATGTTTCCACCCGTCTGTTCAACCATCGCGTCGATCACGTCATCGTCCTCCATACCCAAGTCCGCTGGCGTCTTGGACTCGTCAATAGGCGACCCGTCAAAGAGAAAGCGGACGCTGCTGCGCGAGATGCCCTGCTTCTTGCAGTATGCGTCGATAAGCTTCTTCAGCTGCGTTCCGGTCTTAATCTTGAAGAACATCTCAGCTCCGTCGGCGTTCACAACCTTGATGGACACAAGAGGAGCCTCCGCTTTCACGGCAGGTTTGCCTGCGTCCTCCGCATTGTTGTTATTGTTATTATTATTGTTATTGTGCTCACCGTCCTCCATTGGCAATATAAACAGAGACGCACTCGCGTAGCCTTTTTCCCGCTGCTGAATGGGCCGTTCTATTCTCGTGCAATGTGCGAGCGAATATAGGGCGAAAAGCAGAAAGGGACACGGCACAAGACAAAAAACCAAAGAAAAAAAAAAGAGCACAAACAGGCATATATGTTCAGGCACGCGCACGCCCCACACCCACATTGTGTGTGGGTGGGTGTGTGGTGGTTGGGGGTGGGAGGCAGAAACAATCCACACCTGACAACAGCTGTCGCTCCCGCCCATATCTCCGTTAACTCGTGGAGCGCACATATTCCCACACACACACACACACAGATATATATAAACAGGCACACACACACATACGTGTGTGTGTGTGTGACGGGAGGGGGGTGGGTGGGGAGGGTGCGGCGTCGGCGTCGCACACTACTCACCACTGAACCACCCCCACGCAAGCGCGGCGGCGAGCACCACGACCTTCACCCACGGCCTGCCCTCCGAAAAGATGGTGAGGAATCCGGCAGATGGGATGATGGCGAAGACTTTCCCCACCGCGTCCTCCTCACGTACCCAGCGGTGCCCAGTTGGGTAGAGCGTGCGGTCATCGAATTCGTTGTTGTCGCCCTTGGTGAGAAAGAGCCGCGTGCCACCGCCCTCATGCACCCGGTGAACGCGATGCACGATCGGCACCGTGCGGTCTGGCAGCGTGAAGACGATGACGTCGCCGATGTTGACAGGCGTCACCTTGTGCAGCAGCAGCAGGTCGCCGCGGTGATAGGCCGGCTCCATGCTACCCGACAGCACCACCACGAGCGGGTTGTCGCAGCTCGTCAGAAACCCGGCGGTGCGCCACAGGAGCATGAACACGCTGAGTGCCAGCACGAACGTAAGCACACCGCGCGCCTCGGGTGAGCCACTCACTAGGCTCCTCACGTAGTTGCGGACTTTCTCCAACAGGCTACGCTTCTCCATCATTTCGATGACCTTCTTGTGCTCCCGTAGCACCTGCGCCGCTAAGGGGTCGTAGGGTTGAAGTAGCGGTCCCGTGTCACTCTCCGTCATAGACCGGCACGCTATATTCCTTACAGCACAGAGAAGAAAGAAAACCAAAAGGTTTAGAAGAAGAAGAAGAAGAAAGCGAAAATAAATAATGTTAGGGATCACGCATCTGTCCGTATGTGCATGTGTGTGTGTGTGTGTGTGTCTGCTGCGCCGCCCAACAGCCTCGAAGCAGAGTCACAGACCCCCCTCCTCCTCCTTCACGCAGTCACACACACACACACACACACACACACACAGACAGACTGCTGTTCTGCGTGCACCTCCACCTTACGAAAGTGGTGCATTACGCCTGCTTGTTGCCTTTTTCTTCTTATGAATAACCGTATTCATTCCTTCTTATCCGAGGAGATTCACTTTCAAGTTATCATTTCATTCTGTCTTCTTCTTGTTGCTTGTTCTTTTTCTTTTTTTTTGTATTTGTGGTTGTTGTTGTTGTTTGTTAGTGCGCATGCGTGTGAGTGTGCCACACGTCACGCGCTGTGCCTTCTCAACTGGGCACCATGAAGATCCGTCGTTCGCCGTTGCCCTCGTCCTCCTCCACACGCTCCGCCGCCTGCCGCAGGAGACTCTGGCTGTCGTCGTTGCCGACACACGCGTAGCTGAGGTCGCACAGCGTCGCGTCGGACCAGTTATTATTGCTGCTGCTGCCTTGTTTCTGCTGCAGGATGGAGGGGGTGCGGCGGCGCGGCAGGTGAAGACGCTGCAGCGCCTTGAGGAAATCCGCGGCGAGGAAGTCCAAGTCGCTGCTGTGCGTCGTGAAGACATCCACGTAGGAAGCCGAGAGGCGGAACAGGCATGTCGTGACGGAGGCCAGACACAGCGCCTTCACCGACGACGAGGCATGCGCTGCGGAGCTGCTACTGCTGCTGCTGCTTCCCTTGTCGCTGCTGGTCGCATCCTTCACGAATTGGTAGAAGAACGACGACAGCTGGTTCAGCACAACGCGGCCGCAGCGCCCACGCGCGACGCCGTCGAGGCAGCGAACAAGCACTGACGACAGCAACGCTGGCAAAAGGTGCGGGCGCCGCCACAGCACACCAAGCGGCAGCAGCGTGCGCGCGAGCAGTCGCAGTATACACAACAGCAACTTCTCTTCGCTCTCCCCGCGCTGCGCAGCGTCGTCTCGGCGAGCCGTGACACCGGTGCCGTTCAGCAGTCTGTGGAGGAAGTACAACTCGTGATCAACGAAGGCGCAGTCGTCGTGCAGCGCAGGAAGCGGCAGGGCGCACAGCTCCAGTACGCGGCACCAAAGTGGCGCCGCCGCACCGCTGGCAAGGAGGGGGCTGGCGCCACTCGCAACGAGCAGCCGCTTCACATCGCCGCGCCACACGCTGAACCGCATGTACGGCACCGCGCTGAGTTGCTGAAGCGCCGTGCTGGCAGTCGTGAGCAGCTGCTCGTGCCGACCCCAGCAACATGGAGATAACCCTGAAGCGGAAGAGGGCACTGAGAACTTCACAGCCTCGTGCAAGAGGGCGTGCATGTACTGCTGCAGCAACGCCGGTGCGGCGTCGGTGGGAAAGGCGCGCAGTATCGATGGCATGACACGTAGCTGCAGAAGCAGCCACTGTGTCACCGCGTCCGTGCAGCACGCCGCCTCACCACGTTGCAGCGTAGCGAGAGTAAACATGCGGCTGTTGCGTTGTGCTTCTTCTGTCGTCGCTGCTGCTCCTCGTTCTACTGTGTCGAGCAGTTGCTGCATGGCCTCATCGGAGGTGGTGTACTTCTGCCGCGGGTCGAAGCTGCTGAGCAGAAGGGACAGCCAGCCACTCCCGCTACTCGTGTCGCGGTCGCCGCCCGACGCGAAGAGCCGACGCTCCTCGTGCACTACGAACAGCACCCACAGGATCTGCATCGCAGACTCCTCCGTCGAGGTCAGCAACCGCACGAGTGTGGCGAGACTGCGTCGCCGCGCCTCGTGGTCTGATGGGTCGAAGAGCTCACGCAATCCTGGACCGGCAGCAGATGGCGGACGGGGCGCGGCAATGGCGGCCAGAGCGAGGCTAACGAGACCCTCCTCCCGTCGCCCGTGCTGCTGCGGCCTTTTACGATTGTCTCTGGTTGCAAACTCCTCACCGGATTGTGCTGGCAGCAGCATCGTCGTTGAGCCACGCACCTTCTCAAGGGACATGTAGAGAGCAGTAAAGGCGCGCAGCAGCGGTGCATCCACTCCGGTGGCGAGGCTCTGCACCACCTGCAGGAACAGCGCAGCGAGGAGGTCCATCCATCGCGTTGCCACTTCATGGATCCGCGCCTCCTCTCCCGCCGTCCCTCTCTCGTCGCTCCTGTCATTGTTAGTATTTGCTTCAGCCGTTACTGCTGCCGCTGAAGACGGCTCCTCCTCCTCCTCCCCCTCCCCCTTCTTCTTTTCATGGCGCTGTCGCTTAAGTGTGGCCTCAATGGACGCCGGCTTACGTGCCGCGCCGGCAAACACGACATGCCCACCATTCGCCACGCTGAGGAATGTCGACACCGCCGCATAATCACCCCTCTTGCAGGAGCGGCGCATGGCGTCCACAACGGCCAACACGAAGATGTGTGCGGTGGATGGAGAATCATGTGTCGCCCTCTCATTGCGACACACCGTCAATGCGATGGAGTACAGCTGCCACAACACGCTCGCCGCGCACGCCTCGGTGGTTTTTGTTGCTGCTGCTTTTGCTGCCTCATCCGTGCCACAGTAACGCACGAGGAGCAGGGCAAACTCCTTCGAGAAAATGCGGCGAGCAAGAAGAGTGCACACAGCCACAGTCCGCCTTGCCGCCGCTTCGCTGTCGCCGCCTCTTTCCTCCTCCTCCTCCTCCTCCTCGTCATCATTGATGCTCACACCACTCTGTGCGGCGTGCAGCATGGCTACAGATGGGATGAATGGCACACCAATCGCTTGCACAAAGGCGTCATTCACATCGTCTTTATCCCTGCCGCTTTTGCGGCCTGCCCGCCTTACCTGTTGCTGCTGTTCTTCTTGTTGATCTTGTTGCACCTCACCCGGCTGCAGGAGAGTACGACGGAGGAGCGAGTAGACGCCTTCCTCACATGCGAGGAATTCCATTACCAGCTGCATGAGCCGCCGCTGCAGCAGAGACGGCCGCACTGCCGAAGCGACTTTTTCTTCTGCGTGGGTGAGCAGCAGCCAGTGCACGGCGCGCTGAAGCAGCGACGGCCACTGCGGAACATGCCCAAGGCGGCGCAGCACATTCCCCAAAGCTGCGCAGAGCTGCAGCAACGGTGCACCCTCCTCTTCCTGCTGCTCCGTATTCTGGCGATGTTGCTTCTTCGCACTCTCAGCGCTGCGAGAGCAAACACGAACCTCATTATCGGTGACGCTCATCACAACATCGCAGAGCGCCTCAAGCAGGAACCCCGCACAGCTGCTTAGGCAGCGTGTTAGCCACACCGCGGCGCTCCGCGCAGAGGAGTTGAAAGTCACCCGCAGTAGCCACACAAGCGCCTGTCGCACCCGCCGCGGACGGCCAAACTCAACGACGCAGCGCCACTCCTCCTCCGTGAGCCGGTCGGCGAGCTGCAGCGCCTGTTGCGTGTCACCGTCCGGCACGTAGCCGCCGTCGCTGGCGAAGCGCATGTGGCACAGCACGAACGCAATCAGCCGTCGCGCGTCACTGGCGGGCCCCACCGATACGTTGAGCACCACCGCCACGGACCGCGCAAGCGTGAGACGCTGCAGCGCGAGTTGAGGCAGCAGTGTGACGCGATGCACATGCGGCGCGTGCCGCATCTGTGTCGTGCGGCTCATCGTTGCGTCCAAGTCATCGATCGTGAGCGGCCCAACGAGGGCGCCCACACTCGTCTCCAGCTGCCACATCGTCTCCTCCAGCACCAGCAGGTATGCCTCGACGTTCTGGATCCCAAGGTCCTGTAGGCAGCTGCAGATGAGCTCGCGCGCCTGATAGATGGCGTGCAGTGTGTACAAGACGANTCGACGTTCTGGATCCCAAGGTCCTGTAGGCAGCTGCAGATGAGCTCGCGCGCCTGATAGATGGCGTGCAGTGTGTACAAGACGAGGCGGCGCTGCAGCTTGGGCCGCACAGCGTCCGCTCCGGCAAACACACGTTGAACACGCGCCGTATTTTTACCGTTGTTGCTGCTGTCCTCCTCCTCCTCCTCGTCGTCACGGGCGAAGAACACCGCATGTAGGCGATTGACAAGGAGGGTAGAGAGTGTCAGCTCCAACTCCGCCGCTCGCTCGAGCAGCGCGCTGGCGGTGATAGAGGTGGCGAGAATGCCCTCCAGCACCGTCGCCACCACATCGAGGAGGAAGAGCACCTGCTGCGGCAGGAGCTGCAGCAGCGTCGTCGCCACCCTTCCCTTCCACGCCTCCGCCTGCGTACCGGAAGCATCAGCATTATCGCTATTCTCATCGTCCTCTGATGCCCACCGTGACATATACGCGAGCAAATGTGTCAGAAGCTCTTCTGGATCAAGCGACATGCCGCACGCTTGCACAAGCGCAGTCCGTACATGAGGATGGGCGAACACTTCATGCAGCCCCGCCACCATCCCAGCGTCCTCATCCTCGTCTTCCCCTTCCTTCCCGCTGTTGCTTGCGTTATTATTTGAGGTGTCCTCACCGTATGCCTCTGTCGCACATTTTGTGCCACCTTCCGCCTTCACATGTGCGACGATGGCGTCCAGCAGCATCGGGATTTGGTTGCTTTTCCCCAGGCGCGTCACGAGACTAACGAGGAAGGTGTGCAGCATCGTTGTTGTTGTTGTTGTTGTTGCTGTTATGGTGGTGGACGCAGGATTTCCGTCACTTTCACCATGGGGCTGCATCACAGTGCCTGTTGCAACGTGGGCCGCCACACGCAGAATCGCCGGCACATTTTGATCCACGACTTGCGGCGCAATGACTTCATAGGCGGAGAGGCAACGGGTAAGTGCCGCCTCAACGGACCGCCGCACCACACGTGGCCCGCCACGCGCTGCGAGCAACTGCGGCAACACGACTTGGGCGAACAGCAGCCCGAGAACCTCGTAACCGAGGCCCTTGTTGTAGCGGATGTCGTGGCCGAGGTGGAATACAGCCGGTGTTTCTGCATCCGCAACACCCGATGAGGATGATGAAGACGACGGCAGAGCTGCAGGAGCAATGGTGCCTTGGATAAACGTGTACAGCTCACCAATTGTGCGCCACGCCAGCGCGCGGAGGCCAAACAGGTCCAGCATCGCACCCGCACCCGCATCGCTGGCGGCATTCACGAATCGCTGCAGTGCGAGCGTCACTTCCTCCAGCAGAATCAGCGGCAGGTTCGTGTTGCCGTCCTCCGATTGGTGAACGTGCAGCGTGGCCTCGGCCGCCTCGTCGTCGTTGCGGGCTGCGTCGATGACCGAAAGAAACGTTCGGTACGACGCCACCGACATCTTGGACATGGTCGAAATCATGCTAGCGCGGCTCACCTGCGAGAGTGCACTCTGCTGCGAGAACGACGAATGGCGATCATCGTTGTTATCATTATCATCATCATGTTCATCATCCACGTCTCCACCGTTGTGGCTGTTGCTCTTGCTGTCCACACTGCTGCTTCGCTCAGAGCCGTCTGCGGTGTTGGAACTTCTGGTGGCAACACCGCGTCGCCGCTGCTCCCGCCGCTGCCGTCGCGCCTGACTCTCCTGCAGCAACACCATCCGCCGCTGCTCCTGTGCGAAGGCGGTCCAGCTCTGCTCCGCACAGAAGCTGCGGAAGAAGAACGGGATGCTCGTCATCCACTGCACAAGAAGAAGGGCAGCGTGCTGCTGCTGTGCTCCTGGTAGCTCAGCCATGGCACGCAGCGTTGCCTCCTCCACAGGTGGTGTCGTCACGTGCGTGTGCAAGGCGTACTCCGTCCCGTCCCGTACGTTGTTCTGCATAAGCTTGATGTCGTCGCCGCGGAAGTACACCACCACACGCGTTGCCCGGTTGCACGCCGTACTGGAGACCAGAGAGGTCAGCGCACGTCGGTACGCCCCCACCTCCATGCAACAGCAAGACGCCGGCGCCTCCGTCACGACGGCGTCAACGAGGCTGAGTTTCTGAAAACAAGTGAAGGGCGCAAGTGAGACGATCAAAGTCCCGCGACGCACCGCCGCTGCCCACGCGAGGAGTCGAGCTGTCACAATGGCGTCCGCATCGCCCTCCTGAAGGCCAGAAACAACAGCAGAAGAATGACTGCTGGCTCCGGTGCCTTTTGCTGCTGTGTTGCTGCTAGACTTCGCCTTTGTAATGAGTTGGTGGAGGATCGTCGGACATGGGCGTACGTTGTAGAGTGCGCTCAGTGGATGCCGCGCGTTCGCTGTGCGAAGCTGCCTCGCAGCTGCTTCCACCAAACCGGTGGCGCTGCGGCATAACCCGTGGAGCATTTCCTCTTCCTTAACGGCCTCTGTGCCACCTGCCTCCGTGTGGCGCAGTACATGAGCGATCAGCACGGCGTCCGCCGCTGTTGAGAGGAGGTGCGCCAACGCCTGCGTCACAGCCAACGAGCCGTCGTTGCGGCGGTTTGCGTGATGACCGCATGCCTCCGCAACGCGGCTAAGGAGCGACAGGAGCTCCACCGCCTCCTCCAGACGAGTCTGGAAGACTTTGCCATCGAGTGCCTCCGTTTCGCCCCTTTTGTGTCGTTGCTGCTGCTGCTGTGTGAATCGCTGCTCGTCCATGTGATGTGCCACGAGGGCGGTGGCGAAACTCACAGCGTACAGCAGGGAGTCGTTGATGACAACCACCTGCGCTGGCGTGACTGCCATTTCCGCCGCCGCCTCCGTCTTATTGCTGCTGCTGTTGGTACCCTTGTTGTCGACATCACCGTGGTCCTCTGTCAGGGCCGCGAGGCACGCCTCCCACGTCGGCACATGCGTCAAGGCATACACGTTTCCACGCCGCGGGTCCTTGAGCGATGACTGCACGAAGTCGTCGACGCTGCGCCGCTTCTGGCCCAGCTGGCCGTAGCGCTCAAGCTTCTGGATAGCCGCGCACGATATCATGTGCGCTGCTGCTTCTGCGGAGGAAGTGAGAAGTCAAGACAAAAAAA